CAGTCCATATCAGGGAACTCTGTACGCCATACTCCCGAAGCACCCTCCCAACAGAAATCCCCGAGGGACACGGTCATATGCCTTATCCAAGTCCACAAAACACATGTAGACTGGTTGGGTGAACTCCCTTTTGAAAATTTAGAGCTGGTCCACTGTTGCACGGCCAGTACGAAAACCACATTGCTTCTCCATAATCCAAAATTCGACCTCCCCACGGACCCTTCTCTTCCAGCGCCCCCAAATAGATCTTACCAAGGGGGCTGAGGAGTGTGATTCCTTTGTAGTCGGAACACACCCTCCGGTCCCACTTCTTGGTAAGAGGGACCACCACCCTGGTTTGCCAATCCAGAGTCTGTACTTCTGGATCGGTCCCCGATGTTGTAGAGGCGTGTCAACCAGGACAGCCCCACAACATCCAGAGCCTTTAGGAACTCCGGGCAGATCTCATCTACCCCTGGGGCTTTGCCACCAAGGAGCTTTTTGACCACCTCAGTTACTTCCGCCCCATAGATAGGAGAGCCCACCGCAGACTCTCCAGGCTCTGTTTCCTCAAGGGAAAGTGTGTCGGTGGAATCGGGGAGGTCTTCAAAGTATTCTCCCCACCGACTTATAATGTCCCGAGTCGAACTCAACAGTGCCCCATCTTCACTATACACAGTGGTATTGATTCCCCCTCCTGAGATGCCGGACACTGGACCAGAATTTCCTCTTAGCCATTCGGAAGTCATTTTCGATGGCCTCTCCAAACTCCCCCTATGCCCGGGTTTTTGCTTCAGCAACCAACGAAGCTGCATTCTGCTTGGATAGCCGGTGCCTTTCAGCTGCCTTCGGAGCACTACAGGCCAAAAAGGCCCAATAGGAATCTTTCTTTAGCTTGATAGTGTCCCTGACTGCCGGTGTCCACCAGCGGGTTTGAGGATTGCCACCACCTTGCAGCCACAGCTGTGATTGGCCGCCTCAACTATGGAGGCACAAAACAGGATGTCCCGTGCCTTCCCTGGGATGTGGGCAAAGTTCTACCGGGTGGGAGTTGAAATTCTTTCTGATAGGGGATTCTGCCAGCCGTTCCCAGCAACCCTCACAGTACGTTTGGGTCTGCCAGGTCTGACCAGCATCTTCCCTCACCATCGCAACCCACACACCACCAGGCGAGTATTCAAAACATGCAGCAGTAAATCAGGGCACCAGGCTGTAGCTATAAATTACAGTGCGTGGTAAAATCTTTATTGTGAAAGCTTTTATAGGTCAAACATCAAAACAAAAAATCTGGCAAAAACCTATTGTTATAGAATAAAGTCAAAAAAGTTATTTTAAGTCAGTCTCAACGATATGTTTAGGGCAGTGATTCCCAACCAGTATGACGTGGTACATTAATGTGCCTTGAGAGATCATCAGGTATGCCACGGTAAATTGTTCAATGTCAGTTATTTGGACCAAAAATTATTTAGGCGGAGAAAAAAAAGTAGTGTGTTTCCGGTAACCCGACCGACCGAGAATTTCTACGTCGAAAAAAAACTTTACGGTCGACATTTTTTTCAAACAATGCCTCTATATTTTTGTGTAGAGGGTTTATATCGGTGCAAACTCTCGCGATATTCACGTTGAGTGCGTGCGTCGTTTGCCCTGTCGTCTGTCAACAACATTGAATCATGGCGGCGGCCGCGATCTCCGACGACAGTTTAAACCTCGTTTTCTGTGTTACAGTCGCATGCTCACACCGTAATGTTAAGAAAATAGCATCCATTGATGTATCGAAAAAATTCAGCGAACTATTTGATGAACACCACGGGCCGAGTAAAAACCGAGGGCGGAGGAGGACGATGCGCGTCGCGCGGCTGGCCGCTCCCAGTCCCGCCCGTCGGCGATCCCCGACCGCCCACCCCGCCGACCCGCGCGCTCGTCGACGCACCGTCCGCCTAGTCTACGCAACTCTGGAGAAAACTCGCCTTATCACATGATGAACGAGCCTTTAAATGTAACCCAAGGACACCGCTTGGCTATACACTTCATCAAAATGTCAAGCATGATGGCAGTTGGCGTGCAAAAAAAAAAAGAGAGAGAACCTGAGGCGGTTACCTTATTCATAAGTCTTGATTGGTTCGTCCCTGATAGACTTTAGCCAACATTTTTTCCCCTTAAGATTTTGCTGATGGGGCATTATGATCGCTGGAAGCCGCAGGTGTGTGTTTTGAACTGAACTTTTTTGCAAAGAAAATGAACTGTTTTAGCCTATCCTCCTCAATACTCGTATTCTTTTCAGTGTTTCATCACCCTTGAGGTGTGTTGAAGTCTGATTAAAAACATATTTGGTGATTGTAACAGGGATGAGATTCTTCCGCGTTTTGGCGGAATTCCGCTTTTTTTCCAGTCAAAATGGACCTATTTTATATTGTTCCAAATCCGTAAAAAAATTCTG